TACTTTCTAAAAATTTCTGATTGGAACCTCCCTTTACACATTTGAGCTTGGTAAGGAAATCTCCACTCAGCTGTGTTGGCCTTCTGCCACATCTACTCAACCTTCTGCACATGAAATGAGTGTTGCTGTGTTGGGAAGAGGTTGTGCTCCAACACGTAGTAGATCAGCAGGGTGCAGTAGAAAACATTTTCAATTTTAATTTACAAAGCTGTGTAGAGATACCTGAATATGAGGGTGAAGGGCAAGTGCTAGTGGAAGAAAAAAATGCTGCTAGGCTTTATCAGTAGGAAGCTTGCATTTTGCTACCCAAACTGGTTTTGTGGAAGGTGCCTTTTCTGTTTATGGTCCCATACCTACTCTATAGCAACTCTGGCCTGGCTTACTGTTAAAATACCTTTCTTGTTTGTTTTGTTTTTGTTTTGTTTTGTTTTGGTTTTTTTTTGTTTAGTTTTGTTTTTTTAAATCTCTTTTCAAGCCCCTATATACAGTTATAAACAGCACAGTTTGGGTTTGGGACGATTGAAGTCTGAGAGATGGAGACGTATTGTCCTGCTCCCTCTCTTGGCTGACTCAATGTTTCCACAAATTTTTTTTCTTGTTTCTGCCTAGGGCAATTTACTTTGCTGTATTAAATGTGGTGCTTTTAGTTGGAAGTCTGTGACAGCCAGTGAATGGCATAGTTTCACTATAGCTAAATGTTGCCAATGTGGGCTTTCACCGCAAGCAAGCTGGTGTTCTTTTTTAAACGTGCAAAAGTATGTTCATGTGAAATGATTTGTTGTGCCAAATTACGAAGGTGACACTTAGCACAGTCCTGGTCACAAAGAGATATGAAAGGCAAGCTAGTAAAGCACATGTTTTGAGGAATCTGTGGAATATTTTCTGTGCTTTTTACCACTTGGAATCCTGCAAAATGTTGTTTTCAGTCTTGAGTGAGAAGGAAGGAAAGGAAATCAGGAGCCCCATCAAAGAGACGAAAGGAAGAAAGAGGTCAGAATGACAAAGCAGACAAGGGCAGATCCTGGGGGAAGGCAGGTATACTCATTAATTGTATTTACATTTCAAAGACGAGTTAACTGCAGTGTTCTCAATCATACCCTACACTTGGGTTCCTTGCCACACAGCGTGAAGAATAAATGCACTTTGGAGGATAGAGCAAGTGACCCAATAGGCTGCTTCCACTTTTAATTTCGTGGGTGATCTTAATTTGAGAGGTCAGTACAAATGTCTATGGTAAATGACAATTTTAGGCCAGTAATTACTATTTAAGACAGAAGGCAAGATGCTGGCTAAGGCACTTTCAAATAGATCACAGATAACCTTGCAGCAGCTGATTAACTCAAACAGAACACCTCCTTAGGTGATAGCTACCAAATAATACTTGGAACGATTTTGAAAATTAAAAGGGATGAGGGGAAAGGATTTATGAAATTCTTGGCTGAGTTTTCTCTGGAAAAAGAATTTTGATAATAAGTGGGATTAGCTGTTTGCCAATTAGCAGACAATTAGAAGACAGACATTTACCCAGTGAGCAAAAACCTTTTATGATAGACTCACACTCATCAAACCTGTTTACGCCAAAGGAGGATAAACACTGACGTGCTCACAGTGCCTTAGCTCTGGTGATGTGAGCAGCACTGGCTGCAGCCACCATGCCGACTTCACGTGGGCTGCGTGGGACTCGATGTGACAGTGCTTAATGTGGCAAGCACTGAACAGAAGACCCCAGGCTGAGTTCGCGGATCCTGGGGTGGCTGTGAGTGACTTCCAAGAAGCCCACAAAGGAAATTAGGAAAACAACTGTCTGTGGAGAAAATTGATAAATCTCTGACACTGGGGAATTTTTAGGGACATGCAAATCAGAAAAAGCAAGAAGACATTTGCTTTATTAGCATTAGTATCTGTAAAGGTTGTCACCGTTGGTAGATTAGAGATAGTGTCAGACATTGGAAGCTTTTCTGAAAGTATCCCTTGGACAGGTGAGGCCTCGAAAGACCATAAATTCAGAGCGGCAGATGCTGTAAAGAAGAGCTTGGCTGCCGCTTTTTGTATTTTTTTTTTCCACCTTAACAATGATTTTTTTCTGCGTGATTCCTACAAAATAGGGATATGTAGGCAGCACTGCTTGGCCAAAAGGCAGGGTGGAGGAAGAGTCTGACTGATTTCGCTTTTGTTCCTGCTCCTCTTTTCCATCCTCAGAAATTAAATGATGCCTATGTACTTCCAAAAGCCACAGAACAGATGAGCAGGTGCAGAATGAGTCCTCTAATCCAAACAGTTGCTCAAGGTGTGTTTCATTATTTGTCCTCTAAAAGGGCTATTTCTTGCCATTAACTCCAAAAGCAACACGGAGCACAAAGCTAGTCTTACAGATCTGCGTTCTATGTGCCTAAAGGAGGCCAGAAAATTTGTATCCTTCTATTTGGAAATCCAGCTCAGAAAAGCAGAGTGTGCAAGAGGAAAACAAACTAGGACCAAACACTGCTCAGGAGTGCAGAGCATTTCCCTGCTACATCCCTTGGCACAAGGTAGCACCTACCCTGAGGACTGCAAACGCAGACTGTGATGTAGAAATGAAGGAATGAACCGAGTCCTAGTTTTGCTACTGGCATCCAGATCAAAACGGGAATTTCAAATAGAGTTTATGGCTTTATAACATTTGTGACATGCATAAATGTGAGGAAGTATTGATACATGGTGCTTCCAAACAAATCCATGTTTTCACTTTCTTTCCCTGCACAGCCAGGGCCTCATCCTGTGGCAGCTTCGTTTGCAAGAGGCTGAATTTGCTCTGATCCCAGGAAGGACTCAGCGCCCTCCAGGGGCAACCATCACTAGTGGAAGCCATCCTGTGTGGAAGAAGG